TTAAGTAGCTTTGTTGAGTTCAAAAACACAGTTACACCAAAAATGAAAGTTTAAACTTTTTCAGTGCTGTGTCAGATTAAGACAGAGCACTGCCCCCAGATATGATGGGAGCCCTCTCAGGCTGTTAGTCTATTGCTTTCCTCTCTCTGTCACATGTCCACCTTAAGCCACTTTTGGAATGGCGTTCACCCAAGGCTTTCACACAGATTTAGTGAGCTGTGCATTATGTTTCATTCCCAGCCCTTTAAATTCTGGTGTATTGAGTTGTTGGAGATTTAATTAAAAGTCCCCAGGTTCCCTGCTTAATATCTTAAAAAGAAAGACAGAATGCTCAAGAGTTTCTGATTTAAGAGTAGCAAATAATGGAATCAGAATTTCACATGGTTCTGGGCCATTCAGGAACACAGGAACAAGCTTCACCAATTGTAAACTAGTTACAGCCTGCAAAATGATAATGTAATTTGAAGCTTGTTTTCCATTAAAAATTTTACTTTTGTATCTTTCCTGTTTATTTGGTTATGATGTTGAATGTGCTTGTTGACCAAGTAAGTTCTTTTCTAGTGAAGGTAAATCCCAAATAAGGAAGCTATTTCACTTCAGCAGATCTACACCTAAGAAACTCTGAAATTATAGGATCTTCCAGGAAATTCAAAGCAGTCTCAGTTTCTGGTTTTTTTTAATAAACATCAGGCACACACTTTAGTGAAATTAGGATACCTGCTGTGGCTGGTAGTGAAGTGTGGCAAATTACACTTTGGTTCATTGCACACTTATTCCTAATCTTTCAGGAAACAAGTGGGATACAATATACAGCGGAGCCGCTAGGGAACATGTGTGTGACCGACTAAATCCGGGCTCTTCCTATCGGTTACGTGTATATTGCGTTGGGGAAGGAGGACAAAGCACGGTAATATCAGCTAATATTTTTATTAAATTAAATTTCTCTGTGTAAGAAAATCTGGTCCAGTAGATATTTAAGCAAATATTGTGCAGAAGTGCCTAACAAAATAGCCATAATTAGAACCTCAGAGAAGTTCCAGTATTGCTGCACAGTGGTTCAAGTTTCTGCTCATTTGTTAAAGAAAAATATCTGAATATTATTTCCTGATGTATTTTGTTTGACATGATAGTCTTATTTACAGAAACAGATACTTTTCCTATGTGATACATTTATACAATGTCATTTATTAAGGCCTAACCAAATACAGCAGTTTAAGAAGGGTACTTGAAAAGGCTCCCTGTGGAATTGGTCACAGCACCAAGCATAACAGAGTTCACAAAGCATTTGGACAATGGTGTCTCACATAGTATGATTCTTGGGGCTGTCTTGGGGCGAGGAGCTGGACTTTGGTGATCCTTGTAGATCCCTTCCAACTCAGAAGATTCTGTGATTCTATGAATTTAATGTATTTCCTGTAGTCAGTGGAGTACCTTGTCTGAATATCCAAGTTACCCTAGCAGGCAGGGGAAGAAGTCTTCACTCAAGCTTTACAAGGTTATGCTTCCTGCGCTTTCTCAAGCACAATTTAAATGTTTACATTGCTCTACTTTCCAGTATTCCCAAACAATTTGCTGTGCCATACTGTGCTTCTTTACACATACACACACTACACACACACATGTGTATTGTCAGTTCTGTTGTGTAGATCAGCTGCCAGTGCCAAAATGTCTTGCTGTATTTGCTCTCCCTTCTCAGCAACAAGTGTAACAAAGCCAGCCCTGGCTCTCTGCAGACTTTCAGCAGGGCTTTACTGTCAATCTGCTCTCACAAAAACCTTAAAGCCTTCCATTCTTGGTGTTTGCAGTTTCTACCTTGCCCTGCCTTATGACATGAAACATATGTGCTCTTCCTCCACATAGAAGTCTCCTGCAAAGATAACCCTTTACTACATCCACCTTGCCTTAAGAATAAATCTGGACTCCTTCAATGCTGGCTTGGCTGCAGTGCTTTCCCAGTCACCAGACCACAAGTCTTTGGAGACCTTCACTCTGCCAACCTACTTCCCTACAGCCCAACCCCATGAATTTAGAATTAACCCTGAGTACCACAGAGAAAATAACTTCCAGGAAGTCCTTACACTCTCTGAAGGTGTCAGAAATCAACAGAAGAACTGTGAAGAAAGATGTAATTAATGCTTCTGCAGCTTCCCATTAACATATGTGAAACTTTCTGCCTTTTAAGTAGCATCAGTTGTTCAGTGCAACAATATATTCAAAGGAGCTGAAAACCAGTCCACTCTTTCTTAAACATACGTAGAAACCAGCTGTGAAGTGAGACTCTGAGATTCATTCCTTCTGTAAACCTGAAGTCTTTCCAACTTCCTATTTGTTCTGTATCAAGCTGAAGCTAATAACCCCTCATTGTCTGCTCACTTCTGTCTGCATCCAGAAGTCAATGCCATCTGTGCTGCATGTGTTATGTTCGTAGGTAATTTTTGCCCAAACTTCAAATCAGAGGTGGAAACTTGTTGCTCATTAGGTATTGCTAAGCAATGAAAAAGTTGAAATCTCTTTTTTTTTTTAATCTCTTCTGATTGACACTTCTGCCCACTTAAGCTTTCTGAGAGGTTCTTCCATGGAAAGTATACAACCCTTAGGGTTTAGAACTCATTAAACTGCAGTCTGATGCAAAAGAGAGTGAGTTTACATTGAATAAGTCATATTTCAAGCATCTGTACTAGGTTTGTACTGATAATTAACCACTGTTTTTAATTCTACTCCTTGCACATGTACCAAAATACAAAAGCAAATTTTGCATATTGTGTGATTATTTTGGCATGGTTTATATTACGAGAAATATATACCAGATCACTTCAGTATCCTCACATATTTGAAGATGTAATTAAAAAAGGGATGATCTTGTTTCTGACTCAGGTATTTGCCTTTACTTATGGCATAGCTGATAGTTCTTGATTTGGCCGGGATAACTTCATTAATCTATCTTTCATTTTTAGGTAACTGATTCCTTACTGGTGCAGACACCAGCAGTGGTTCCTGGTCCATGCCAGCCTCCAAGGCTACAGGGTAGACCAAGAGCGAGAGAAATTCAGCTGCGCTGGGGTAATTTTTTTACAAGTGTTAGAGATTGTAAGGGATCCAAATGTATTCCAATGTGTTAAAATTAAATAAGCTTTTCTTTCTTTCTTTCTTATTTCTAGGACCACCTCAGGTAGATGGTGGTTCACCCATTACCTGTTATGGTCTGGAAATGTTTCAGGCAGAAAGCGATGAACACAGAGAGGTTTACCAGGGTTCTGATGTTGAATGCACAGTGGGCAGCCTTCTTCCAGGGAGGATGTACAGCTTCAGACTGAGAGCAGCTAACAAGGCTGGGGTAAGGAGGCAGTCTGAAATGAAATTCATTACAGAGACTGCAATCACTATTAAGGATTTTTTATTTCAAACAAAGCATTTAACAGTAATTTTAAAATTAGGATTTCCAAATGTAGAGTCTTTTGGGTCACATAGCTTATTGTTGTGTGGGAACAGATGGTTAAACATCAGTTTATAATGAAAGGTATTTTTAGATGAAGGGAAGAGAAAATAGCTAATTATGTCTTTTATCTGAACAGTAATATTAGGAAATCATTAGAAAATGCTAACAGTACTTTATTAGAGTACTGTTACAACTTCACTATTTTGATGTGAAGTAGCAGATTATTTTCTATATACAGCTTTGTAAATTGATTGACCTTTATTTTTACAGCTGTTGGTGTTCAGAACATAACAATTAATGTTTCCTGACTCTCCATTTTTATATTTAGTTTAACTTCTGAGTACATGTTCTATCAAATACAAGACTATTTTCCCTCGTTGGAATATTAAATGTGTTTAAATAAATTGTTGCTGTAGAATAAGCTTTTTAGTTGTGTACCCAAAGTCCTGATTTGTTCAATAATGTACACTTCATTGAAAACTGTCAGGGTGTGTTGACACTGTTTGTGGAGAGGTCTGCAGCTTAAGGCTTTAAAACACTATCCTAACTTTTGTCTTCCCTTCACCCTGCAAAGAATGGTTCATTGTTCAGCAGTTTTTGAATCCTTTATTTCTTTTACATAGGTGTAAATAGGCAGTACCAATTGGTTTATGTTCCAGTGCAGCCATCATGTAACTTCAGAATAAGGCTCTGGGTAGTACTTCCCCGGTTTTCCCAAGAGTTTGAAGTGTCAAATTTATTCACGTTGCATTTGCTGGAATGAAGAAAAATTTATAGCTGTTCTGGAGAATAGTCAGATACTGAAATAAATCCTGATTTCCACAGTCCACAGAAATTTATTTTATAAAGAAGTAATACAACATTTCAGGTTGCAGTTACATGTCCCTACTGTGGTTAACTGGTTTTTTATAAGTAGTAATTTCATTTTTACAATGTAGTATCACCTCCCTTTTTAACAGTTTGGACCTTACTCAGAAAAATGTGAAATAACTACAGCACCTGGACCCCCAGATCAATGCAAGCCCCCTCAAGTGTCGTGCAGATCTGCTGCCTGTGCTCAGGTGTCGTGGGAGGTAAGAATGCCGTGCCATCGCCTGTGTTAACATAATGGTCTTCTGCATTTTTGAGTTCAGCTTGAAAAGTCTAATACTGTATTTTAATCACTTTATTTGTAAGCAAACTTACCTGATTATCCAGTAGGTAAAACCTTAGTCATTCATCATGCCATTATAAGGCAGCAGTAAGTTGGCAGGCTGCAGGTACTGGATCTTACTGTGTTCTTTTGCTTAAAAGTTTTGCCGCAGATGCTGCTCTGCATTTCTGAGTGATGCAGTCTCATCTTAAAATTTTTCTTTAACATAGTTATAGTTCCTCAGAGACAATGTATCCACATAATACAGTAGATTATTGTGCGCTTCTTGGTTTTATAATCTGATTTAATTTTGTATAATTACATCAGTAATAATGTAGCAAAAGCCTCACAGACTTCCTATAAACCCATAGTATTTAGATACCTGATTTTAAAAAATGCAATAGATAAAAATTAAGCTTGTAAAAAGAAAGATTCTATCTGGGAATACTCTTTAAAGAGTATAAGCTTTTACGCTTTAATAAGAGTTTATAAGAGTATAAGCTTTTAGAGATGGGGTGAAGTATCTGAGTTTCAGAACTGTACAGGGAAAAAAAATTAAACTGTTTTACCTGAAAAGTAATGTTCATGGTTCCTACTAGAGGAATGTCAGAGGACCACTCCTTAAATATCTGCAAGGCAAAGCCTTTTTAAAAAAATAACATAAAACATTCAGGTCGAGTTAATTTGAGTGATGTTAGATGTCTGTTTTACAGAGTCACACAGTAATTAAGGCACAAGTATACCCTGAATGTCATTTAGTTCAGCCTTCTATTCAAATAGGTTAAATTTGTTAAGGCCTTTCCCAGTGAAATTTTATTTATCTCCAAGAATGGAGATGTTTCAGCCTAGTAAAACTGTCTGGGTAAACTCTCATTCTGTTGGATTTTTTTTTGTTTACATCTAGTCAAAATACCCTTTAATGCAAGTCATGATTCTTGTCTTGGCACTGTGCTATCTTCACAAAAAGCTTTTGTCATAATGTTTGCACCCTCCCAGTAAGTAATTTAAGGCAGCAGTAAGATCTTCCCTTAGGTGAATCACTTTGCTATCAAGTAAACCTTACTTTTTTATTGTGTGTTGCACTCCTGCTTCGTGACCCTTCGCTGGACCTACTCCAATGTCCATCTCCTTTTGGGGATCACAAGACAGGACATGGTACTGGAGATGCAGGCTCACAAGTGCTGAGTAGAGGGGAATCATTATTCTTTTTACCCTTCTTGCTGCCCATTTGCTAATACAGCCAATATGTAGTTATCTTCATCAGACATACACTGCTGATTCTTATTCAGCTTTCTCTCCAGGACACACAGGGTTTTTTTTGGTAAAGATTGCTCCTCAGCCTGTACTTTTTTGTAGTAGTCCAGGACTTGGTTGAACTTCCTGAAGTTTGTATCAGATTCTGCCTGTTATTTGTATTGTACTAAATTCAAAATCAGCAAAGAAATGGAAGGGTAAGACTCCTCTGGAACAAAAACAAAACATAGATGTGGTTAGTTTGGTTGATTTTTTTTTCTTATGTCAGTATATTTAGCTTCTAATTATTGATATCCATTTTAAAGGTACCAGTGAGTAATGGAGCTGATGTCATGGAGTATCGACTGGAGTGGGGCGGTGTGGAAGGATGCATGCAAATCTCCTATTGTGGGCCTGGGCTCAGCTGTGAAGTGAAAGGGCTTTTGCCTGCCACTATATACTATTGCAGGGTTCAGGTAAAGATGTAAAACTGTTGTTAATGGAATCTGGAAACAGGAATTGACTCTGGCATATAAACATGGTCTACTTTGGATTTGCAGGCAGTGAATGTTGCAGGTGCAGGCCCTTTCAGTGAAGTAGTAGCATGTATGACTCCAGCCTCTGTACCTGCAGTTGTGACCTGTCTTCGTGGACTAAGTGAAGATGAAGTTGAAAGTCCACACTATTCTCCTTCCACATGCCTTGCTATAAGCTGGGAAGAGCCTTGTGACCATGGATCTGAAATCCTCGGCTACAGCATAGACTTTGGAGATAAGCAGCCAATAACTGTTGGGAAGGATCTGACCTATTTTATAGATGGCTTACAGCCAGATACTACCTACAGGTATGTGATGCACAGCTGCTTGACAGCCTGCTGTTTCTTCCACAAGACCAGATGCTTTTTTTCCTTGTTTTTTTTTAATTGTCTTCATTATTACTCTCAGAAACACATTAGTGCACAGCCATGGAGCAAAAAGAAGTTTTGTAATGATGATCATCATAAATAGATGTGCTATTTTTATTTTCTTCCAAACAATAAGTTTTGTTAGTTTATTGCAATATCGTTCTATCTGTCTGGTTAATGTGTCAATTTAACTGAATTCACATCACATATTCAGATTCATAACTGATTTTGGACTGGTTGCTTCTCTGTTTGAAAAGGTAAAATTGATCCAAGGAAGGACTATGCCCAGTCTGATCTAACTGACAGCTCATGGCAACTTGCAATGCCTCATCTGCAGAAAAAGTGGAAGTCAGCATGAACAGTATCAGTTTGAAAAATCAGCCAGCTGTGCATCTCTTTTGAAGAATTTTAGTTGCTGAAATCATCCCTTCTGTTCATTCCAAGGGTTACTGAAACATATAAATGCAAAAATCAATAGTTTTGGCTGAAGGTGCTACATCCCTGTTACAAAAACATGCCCTCAGTGTTAAAGGAGAATGGCAGTCCCACTGAAGTCAGACTTTTAACCCACTCTGATTTCAGTATAATTAGGATATCATGTGGCTATGCAGTTTTCTGAATCCTTAATTACTGTTTTATGGCTTTATGTGAGAATACAGTGTTTCTGTGTGCCTTATAATTATTTAACAATAATGCTGGCAATCTGAAGAGCTGTTCTCTGTGTGTCAGTAGACTGAAAAAAAGAGTCATTTCCATTGCAGAGATAGGTCTATACTTCTGGCCACATAAGTTTTGTTTTTTTTTTATTGAGTACACTGTCAACTCCGTGTGCAAATGAAAAATTGCATGTATTAACCTTAGTTCTGGGCTGTAATAAATTAGCATAATGTTAAAAATTACTGCAGTGAAGGAGAAATATTTATTCTTTAGCCTGCGTACACATTTGTGTTTCCACATTTTGCAGTTGTGTGGTTGATTGTTTCAGAATTTAATTAGTGTGATTACTTTTTTCCAGTTACCTAGATACTATTTTGGACAAGCAAATGTTAAGTCTGCAAAATTAAATTAGACACACTGCTCCCTGTGGCTACCTGTGAAATACATAAAGAGCCTCTGTTTTCAGCTTTTTCAGAAATACATTTCTTAGCTAAGTCTTTTAATTCTCACTTACAAATCTAATGTGCATTGTCTTCCTTGGAGTATCAAAGAGAATAACAAATCCTACCTTATCCCTGAGTATCAAGTTCTACAACTTCCTCAGCTTTGTGTCCTTTGGCGACTTCTGGTTTCCCCCTCTCACTTTGCAGGCAGACCCAGGAGAGCTTGTGTTTGCAGGTGCCCAGAGATGTGTTACTGTGGGTGGGAACAGCAAAAGAGGTGGCTGGGTACCATCGCTTTATTTTCACACAAATAGGATCTGTTCAGAAAAGTCCATAAAAATGTCTGTTAGTCATCCTTGAACTCACCTGATAAAACAGTCACAGATATGGTTTCCCCTCTTTGGGGTGGGTTTTTTACTTTCCCTCATCACTGCAGTGCGGCTATCAAAATTTTGGTTCAAGGCCTGCACAGTCAGAAAGGTGGACCACTCTTGAAGTAACTCACAGAGCTTTTACATCTTTTCACTAATGTGAATTTACTTTGAATATTTTTATTTCTAATCAAACCAGCTCCTTAAAATGTAAGGAAAGTGATGCACCTGCATATTCTTGACAGTCTATCAAAGAGCACAGTATTGATAAAAGTCTTTATTGTAGATAGTACCATTATTCTCTATTTAATGAGAATGGTGGATATGGCCAGTTATTTTTAGAATCTAATTTCAAGTTAATTTATTCTCTCTTTTTCCAAATGCTAGGGTACGAATTCAAGCCCTAAACAGTCTTGGAGCGGGTCCTTTCAGCCACACCATAAAACTGAAAACAAAGCCTCTCCCCCCGGATCCACCTCGCCTGGAATGTGCTGCATACAGTTCTCAGACTCTCAAGCTGAAGTGGGGAGAGGGAACTGCGAAAGCATTAACTGACTCCATCCAGTACCACCTTCAAATGGAGGATAAGAATGGAAGGTTGGTTTTGGCTTTGCTTTTATCTGCCTGGTGTTGCTGTGGTCTGATGCTTGGGAGATGGCGAAAGGCAAAATTCCATATGCTTTGGTGAATTTACAGCAGATGTAGGAGGTCATCTCTTCTGGCAAGGCAAGAAGGGCTCCAGTGTTCTGTGCCGAGAAGTACAAGACAAAAAACTTAATTGTTTTTTTACTTCCAGTTCAACAGTGTTTAATGCGGTGTTTCATACCAGCACACTTTTCCCTCTCACTTTTGGTTAAATATTTTGTCAAAGTAACAAGTCCAATCTGTGTTGTGAATTTTATGTACTTAATATCGGAAGGGATGTGAATGCTTTACTCTCTGTTGCCTTATATGCAATTATTTTAGTGGAAATTAATACAATTTATTTTGAGGGATTCCTTGTCTCATGTTAAATAGAATGTCAGCTGAGGTGGTACAGCAAGAACCCTTGCCCAAATCATAAAATAAGCAGTACTGCTACTAAGTGTTCTGTGTCTGATGAGCAGCTTTAGCTTGACAAAAAGATAAAAGAGATCCACTATGTGAAATTGCTGTGCTGTAAGGAGGAAAATAATTAGGCTGTTTAAGTGGAAGGAAATTCATTGCCATTCCCAAAGATTAGGTCATGTGCAGGTACCATCTGTTTCAATTTTAAAAGACAAGAAAAAGCTAGATGACAACCCCTGCAGGAAGAGAGAAATTTGTGCTGTCCTGGAGACATGAAGACTGAAAATCAAACAAGAGTTGCCATGATCAGTTTGCGCAAGAATTGCCACATGAAGGACAGTGGCCAGTGTAGAAAACTCCCAGAAACAGATTTGGTGTGCACTACAAGTGTGACTCTGCCCTCCTGTGCAGGTCTGCATGAGCCCATGTCCAACAATGATGTACAAAAGCAACTGGATCCATGGCACATTTTTTAGGTGTAGTAAGGGAGAGTTGCAAAGGGGCAAAAGCTAAAATCTAGTTACCTAATTCTGAAATGCTAAAGATGTTGGAGGAGTAGATGGCCAAGCAAAAAAAAAAAAAAAAAAAGCAGTTCATTGAGAGACACAACTGCTGTCTTTTTTTATTGTTTCAAAATAGTTTCTTAAAATGCTTAGGAACATTTTTGGTAAGAGAGAATCTGAAGCATTCTTTGTGCAAGAGATTTTTATTTCAAAGACATGAGAAATAAAAACTTGCCCCTGGAAAATGAGCTTATTGTTTTATAGCAGCCAGAACACTGTTTAACTCTGAAATAAGTGTTTCTGGGCTTTTCATTAGATTCTGGGAAATTATGGGAACAGATTTCAAGACAATACTGCTTCAGAAGTCCTTTTCTGTGTTCAAAATAAGCTACTCGTTCCATTTTCAGGTTTGTATCCTTATACAGAGGACCATGTCATACATACAAAGTTCAAAGACTCAGTGAGTCAACATCATACAAATTTTGTATTCAGGCATGTAATGAAGCTGGTGAAGGTCCCCTTTCTCAAGAATACATTTTCACTACTCCCAAATCTGTTCCAGCTGCCTTGAAAGGTAAGGATGCTTCTTTTTTCATTTGAGGGGTGGGAAGACAGCAGGTTGGTTTTGGTATTGTGTTGTATTTGGGATATTGAGAATATTAAGCCCTTTTAAAGTGCAGGTAGGGATAGTGGGAGAAGGCTCCTTTCATATAGTTGCCTAAAATATTCCCTCCAAAAATGGAAGACTTGGGGTTTATGCATTCTTTGACCTAAGAAGTTTGTACTTAGTTCTCCTGCTTACGAGGAGAGTGGCAAGTTAAGGTGAAAATGCTTTCTAGCATGTTTAGAATCATTTTAAGCATTGTTTGGGGTTTTTTTGGTATGTGATGCGCACTTACAGTTACTAAATTTTATTTGTTTTCTCTTGGATGATACCTAAACTACAAAGAGAGGCCTATATGAATTATTAGTTGTTGCTCCAGAAAACACTGGAGGAAGAATAAATTTGAATCTGCATCTTTTGTTTCTCTGAGATAAAATAGGAGGTAGAATATATAATTTTAAAGGTCATTAGAATATGACAGCATGTGACAGGGAAGGCAGAGTTAGCTGTCACTTTTCCTTCCTTCCTTCCTTTCTTCAGCACCAAGGATAGAGAGAATAAATGATCACACTTGTGAAATCACATGGGAGGTTCTGCAGCCCATGAAGGGTGATCCAGTTATCTACTGTCTTCAGGTCATGGTGGGAAAAGACTCAGAATTCAAACAGGTATGATGTGTCTAAGTTACTGTAGTTTTCTTTGATTATTGTTTGTGATAACTAGTTTGGTAAAACTAGTTGAGATTAGATTTAGTAAAGCTTATTGTGTTTCAGCATGGTTTTAGTCACCATGTTAACTTTTTGTTACTAAATAATAAGGTAATATCTCCTAAACCCATCTCCTTCATTTTAGAAGGAGATTCTGCACTAAATTACAGCCTCTCTGGGTTACAGTGATGTTCACTAAATACAGCTTGAGACGTTAAGTGGTGAGGAAGTCATCCCCTAATGGAACAACTGACAAAAAGAAATCTTATACTAATGGTACAGAATTGAGACTGGGGAGAAAAGGGGCAAAGGGTTCTCTTTACACTAAGAGCAAAGAAGCAGTTTGAAATGCCAAGGTACAAATTATCCTGTATTCAGTGCTAATTTTGCTTCCCAGTTTGGTTTTTTTTTTTTTGTTTGTTTTTTTGGTTTTTTTTTTTTTTTTTGCTTCACAGTTTATAAACTGCCTGATATTTGACATGAAATTAGGCTTGAAAACTGATTCATACTAATAAGCCAAGGAACTTTCCTTCCAGGACAGAAGCAGTTAATTCTAGTATATTATCATTTTATCATAGTTCAATATTAAATAAGTTTCACCTTTCACCTGTGCTTTGGTAGATTATAGGCCTTAATATGTTCATAACTTTTAGTGTAGCACTGGGTTTGTTATGGCCATTTGTTAAATTTTTCAGTAAAAGATGAACCATAAACCAAAAGGGCTTGCCATGTGGATAGTCTTTTTTGTAACTTCAACATTGTAAATGCAACATTAGGTACCTAAGGCATGGTCTATGTTGCTTTTAGTTAAATTACACTTTATCAGTGTGTGTTGCCAAATGACCTGGGCAAGAAAATAAAGTTGGCTCTTGGAGTATGGTAATAACAAAGTAGACTGAGGTGTGTGATTGTTTTTGCCTCTGCAGAGCAGTCTAGCATAGTAAATTAGAATAAAATGAAAATACTTAATTTGCAGGAATTAAAATTGGAACAATCAAGAAGGAAACAGTGTAAAAACAGCCTTTAAGACACTTAGACATGATGGTGGCAATTTTATTTGACATAGACAGAAAATAAACTACCTGGAAGTCTGCTCTAAGCTGTTCCCTGCTATTTCACTGCCAAAACATCACTCTCCTCTCCTCCTTCTTCCTGATCTGTCATACAAATTGCTCATGTCATTGCTCCCTCCATGCTACAGACAAAGTAGATTAATAATGTGCTGTTTGAGCTGTATACATCAGTCAAAGATCTTAAAGGGGTTAGGAAGCAACTATGTAAATACCCCAGGAAACACACTGGAGGGGAAGGCAACTTCTGGCAGGCACTGGGGACAAGCAGCTGAGGATGGTAACCCCTGCTAGCTGGCATAGCTGGAGCTGGAGTAGGATGAGTGTCAGTGGCCTGTTTGCTCACTCCCAAATGCATGATCCAAATTAACAGCATTTTGAGGAAGCTGCACTTCCAATGGCCTGCCCTGCCTCAGAGAGAAAAGTCTCTAGGTTGTAGATTCCAGTAAAGCTCAGCTTGTCAGAGAACTCTGAGTAAGAGTAGCCTCAGGCACAGCAAGAGCTCTTAGGATAGCAAAATCAGAAGGGATTTCGTTTCTTTGCATTTCTAGTGTGCATTTTCAGGATACTGTCTAACAGTATGAAACTGTAGGGAAAGCTCCTGATGATGTGATATTTCTATATCGTGCTACCAGTTAAATAAAGCAAATCCAGATATTTAGAGGTGGGAAAGCGAAGGGGTTTAAAGAAAGAAATCAAATTGCGCTGTGCTACTCACCTAACACCTCCGCACCTGTTGAAGTACCTATAACTGCACCCCTGTGAGGTTTTGTGGCTTTCACAGAACCTTTACATAGCTGCAAATTGAATTAATTTGAGAAACCAGAATTTAGATTTCACTGAATTAGGCACTCCATGCTGAAGCATTGTGAACTCATGTTAACCTGCCAACTGAGAGACCTCTGGAGAGCACCCTCACAAGTTATCTCTGTCTTGGGAATATGATGAAATTAAGAATCACAAAGAGGACTCTGTGGCTTTCCTGATATTGGGATAAATCATAACATTTTAAATACAGATTACTACAACAAAGTACATTGGATTGGATGAGACTTAAAATGAATTGGCTTGACACAGAGTTAACTGCCTAAAATCCCATGATACAGTATTGTATATTGCATCACATTGTGAATGGTCACTAAAACACCTGAAGGCTGGGGCTTGTGACAGAGTTTACTTGGTGTGTACTCGTCATTCCACACAAGCAAGCATAGTTCTTGTGTTTCACCAAAATAACTGGAGACTTGATCTGGTATTTAAATTGTGTGTTTGAGCTTTTTATCCATTTTTATTTGCATGGGGGAAAACACTGGTGAGTTGTTATCCTTTTTAGTTACCTTCACCATAAACAAAACCATACTAAGATACATGTGTATATATAGTACTTTTTTACTTGAAGGATCCCTTTTTCCCCCCTTATTTCCAGATTTACAAGGGCCCAGACTGGTCGTTCCGATACACAGGCCTCCAGCTGAACTGTGAATACCGATTCCGCGCGTGTGCCATTCGCCAGTGCCAAGAGGCCACGGGTCACCAGGACCTGGTGGGCCCCTACAGCACCCCAGTGCTATTCATCTCTCAGAGGACTGAACCACCGGCAAGCACCAACAAGGACACTGTGCAAACCACAAGGACACAATGGTCACAGAGCGACCAAGTGTGTGCTGCTGTCATCCTTGCACTTTTTGCTATCTTTTCCATTCTGATTGCTGTTATCATTCAGTACTTCGTCATAAAGTGAAGAAAAGAGATCTATTTTATAATGCTGCCCATTACATTTTACTTTCTCATAATCTAAAAGTAATTCTGTTCTCTTGCTTTTACAAAACCAGGCATTTAGCACCGGTATTGGGACTGATGCAAACTTTCTCAGCCACTTTAAAATGCTTACTCGTAGGTATAGGCTGACACATGTTATTAAAATGCAAGCCACAGAAATATAATCTTTTCTTTATATGCCTTCATGCAGTACAAACTCGATACGGGGCAGGCACGCAGTGTTTAAGGAAAAGGGTTTGACCAGTAAACGCAAGCGTAAAGGTGATTTCCTGGCCCACACTTCTAAGGGTTGCTAACATAACAGGGAAGAATGTGTAGATCGCATTTAAAACTTACACTAACAAACTTGTGCTGTACACAATATTAATCTGATGCTGTGAAAGCAATTTAGCGCTGTATTTCTACCTCCTCATTTGTCTTAATTATTTGGGAAGCAGGATTTATGCTGAAAAACAGAAGGGGCTTTTCTCAGGCAGCAAATAATAAACTGGATGGAAGAGTATGCATGAAGGAAGCTTCTTATCTGATAAATGTGGAGTTCTTCACTGCAAGTAGATGTTTTTGAAAGACTACAAGGAGATGGCACAAGTGATTTATCTTACCCCCAGGATTTGGTGTTTACTAACAAAAAATGCCTCTTTTACTTCTTCTGAATATAGAAGGGAGAGTGTGAGAGACCTTCTTAGACTTGTTATTTAAATTGAAAAACACATTTCCAAAGTTGACCTTTGATTGGATGCAGATGTCTGTGCCCTCTGATTTTGGCTAGTCAACAGAATTTTGAGATAAAATTCATTGTTGAATTTTTGCTGTTTCCCCAACATTCACTTGCCATATCCACCAAAAATAAGCACTGCCTTTTTTTGTTTGTTTTGTTTCTGTCTTTCTTTCTCTTTTTTCCTTTCCTTTCTTTCTTTCTTCTTTCTTTCTTTGGGGCACCAAATCAGAAGACGAAGTGTAGTAATTTGCACCAGAAAACTTAAAGCTGCTTTTTTCTTGAGATCCTAATGTTTAATGTAATGTCTCTTTGGATACTGTACCAAATTGTTGATTGCATGTAGTTAATGTTGCATTAGAGCACTTTGCAATTGCATAACTCATCACTGTTTTGTGAGCTTGCATTTGTGAGTTCTTGAATGACCAGACTGAATTTTAACAAGTATCCCATTGAACATCTTGCTGGATGTCAATGATTGCCAGTGACACAAAGCTTGTAGTGAAACTATCTTTAAAAAAAATCCTTGTCTCATCACACTTATGTTATTTGTTATACACTTTGTAATTAGCTACTTTTAATTTATTTGAGTTACAAGATAGTGGATCATTAATGACTTCTAGTTGTGTTCAGTTTAGCATTTTTAATAGTATTAAACACTTCTGTCAGTCTTAATAATAATAAAAAAAGGAACCTCTGTCTTGTGCTTTGAAGATCTCTGAAGAATTTCTCTTATATTAGAACGGGCATGTATTGTAATTGTTTATACGTCCAATGATCTGTGCTGTAGAATAATGTTGCTGAGTTTCGTTTTTTTTAAAGAAAAAAAAAAAGAAGAAATGGCAAAGAACTTGGCCTCCACGTGGCAAGAACGATCTGTCTTTAAAATGTACTGTATGTTTACATTTTATTTCTAATTTGTCATTTGTACGTATAGGCTGATACCTTCCCGCAGGATACCGCGATAACTGATGTTTTCTAGAACCTTCTTAAAAGTGCCATGTTTGGCAGTGCAAATGAGGTTGCGTGTCACAGCCCAGAGATTTCTTATGGTTGAATGTCTAAAACGGTAAGATTTGTTACTGCAGGCAACCTGCAGTGACTTACGTTTTTCATAGTAAAATTCAAATGAGCTCCTATTTTTGATAGTCATTTAATAGTGTATTTGCCATTTGAGCCTCAGTGCATATTACTGCATTGAAGACAGTTTTTAATGTAATCTTAATTTTACCTCATATACTGTACATTCCAAAAATAAATAAATAAAAGAAAAAGAGAAACTCTAAAGTTTTTAAAACGCTATAGATACACTACCAAACATATCACTTTACGGTTGTACAACGTCGGGCTCCATGAAGACGAACCTGTATAGTCTGATAGAAAATACATAAAACGATGTAGCAAAGTACCTTTAAGAGTCTGTGGACAATAAAAGTACCTTCTTTTTCGCTGCTGGTGGTCAGTCCTGTGCGCGCACCGCCGCCCTCCCTGTCCCCTGCCCGCTCCCCTGCCTCCCCGCGGGGCGGGCCGGGGGCGCGGTACCTGCGCGGGCGGTGCAGCCGCGGGCGGGGCGGGGCGGGGCCGGAGTGAGGAGCGGCGCTGCCCCGGGCACGGCGCGTCCCCCGGCGGGATGCGGCGCGGCGGCGGCGGCGGGAACGGCACGGAGGGCGAGCCCGAGTGGCCGTGGCCGTGGCCGCCCTGCGACGAGCGGCTGTGCCTGGCGCTACCCATGTGGGTGCTCGTTCCCATCACGGCCGTCTGCCTGGGGCTCTTCGTGGTCGGCGTGGCGGGCAATGTCCTCACGGTGCTGGTCATCCGCAGCTACCGCGACATGAAGACCACCACCAACCTCTACCTGGGCAGCATGGCCGTCTCGGACCTGCTCATCCTCATGGGGCTGCCCTTCGACCTCTACCGCCTCTGGCGCTCCCGGCCCTGGATCTTCGGGCAGCTGCTGTGCCGGCTCTCGCACTACCTCAGCGAGGGCTGCACCTACTGCACCATCCTCCACATCACCGCCCTCACCGTGGAGCGCTACCTCGCCATCTGCTTCCCCCTCAAGGCCAAGGTGGTCGTCACCAAGCGCCGGGTGAAAGCCACCATCGGCGTCCTTTGGGCCTTTGCCTTGCTCTCCGCCAGCCCCTTCTTCTTCCTGGTCGGCGTGGAGCAGCCCGACAACCACACTGACTTCAGCCGCGAGTGCAAGCCCACCCCGCAGGCGCTGCAGTCCGGCCTGCTGGCCACCATGTTCTGGGTCACCACCTGCTACTTCGTGCTGCCCGTCACCTGCCTCAGCGTCCTCTACGGCTGCATCGGCCGAGAGCTGTGGCGGAGCAACACCCGCCTGCGGGGCCCCAGCTCGCTCCTCCGGGAGAAGGGGCACCGCCAGACCGTCAGGATCTTGGGTGAGTCCCGCTACCATCCCCCCCGGGCTATGGCTGGGGCAAGGACCGGGGCTGGGGGGCCATGGCAGGGCTGAAGCACCCGCAGCTCCCGTACAGGGATAGGGAATAGCACAGGGGGACATCCCAGCCACGCTCCCGGGAGCTGCCACGGCAGGGATTTCACTCCCTCCCAGCTGAGGCTTCACCCGCGTGGCTTTGCACATCCAGCAGCACGGCTGCCTTCCGTAGAAATACCCGTTTCCTGAATTTTACCAGACAGAGTCAAGTACAAGGTAGCCTGCAATTCAGAAAAAACTGTGGCAGTATCAGCAGTCTCTTCCAGTTGGCAGCAACACCTCTGCACAGAAAATTTCTGCTTCTGAAAACTAAGTTCCTAGTGGTCATTTGTAGCCCTAAGGAGTAAATCCACTGGTTGCCCAAGGAGGCTGAAAAACAGCAACTTAGCTCCTACGAGCTGTTTGGAGACAAATCCCGTAATACCAAAGCACTTCCTACAGATGGAGGATGCTGATAATTTTTAGTTCATTTTCTTAGTCATACATTCAGTAACCCAGCATCAGACTCTGGAAAGTTAGAGATCTTCGTTAGCTTTGGGGCTTTAATGTTTGTAAGTAGTGACCAATCTGAAGGGAAAGAAAAAGAAATCCAACTATTGACTAAGGAACATAAAACAAAATGCCCCAATTATTATTATTGCCTACCTTTAGTGTAGTTTTACATGTCACATGGGAGACTTCTTTTACTGAGAGTGTAATCAGCTGGATGGAAGTAGCATAGCACAAAGGAAAGAAACCAATAAGCCTGAGAGAATTTTGCCGACTTATTTGAGGAAGGTACTTACACTGAAGTAGGTACAAGGTTTTCCAACAGAAACACCCATATCCATGATCTCAGAACCCACTGAATGAGACCACTGCCCCCTTATCTCAAAGATCCAGCAGCACTAGGTGTGTGGTGTTTTCCATAAGAAAACTTTCTTTGGCTGCATCCCTTTTATTTAAGCCGTGAGAAACACAGAGAATGCTCTACAAATGATTGTTTGTTTTAGCTACATGCATTTATAAACAAAAATAATTAAAAGTATGGATACAGTAATACACTTATGTAATTGTTCCTCATCTGCTCCTGCTGTGTTGCCATTGCAAGAGGGTTTGTATTTGTTCTCATTGTGCTAAAATGCAACACAAGACCAGGCGAACAGCTGAAGCAACTCAGGCTAGAGATCCATCTAGGCAAATAGCTGTCTCCAGCAGTAATGGTCTGGGGATGCATGAAAAAGCTTTAGTGGGAAAAAATCAATAGCTCAACTACACTATAAAGTCTTTATGTTAGATACCATCCCGTCACAACAGAGCGAATTCTGTGGGAGCTTGGGTGACTGAGGTGCAGCCTGGCTCTTTTTCGGTGATGCAGACAAATTAAACATTAGGTCTGCAGCAAATAGAGCTGCTGTGGAGCTTCCACAAAAATTCCTCATTCTGACTTTTGTTTTCCTGTCTCATATGTGGTGTTCACAGGGGATTTCTGTGTAGTGCCTGATGTTATTATACAGATGTTACTCCACTGTTGTTCATATTTTTCTCAGCAAACCTCATCTCACAGTTTAGCTTAAAATTTTACCAGTTACCATTTACTTCAAAGACTTAACAGTCAGACTTGATGCTATTCCCATTTTCATGGTTTTCCAACAATTTAATGCCATTATTTCTATATATAATTTGTATCAGTTAGAAGAACCTGCAAAATCAGCCACGTGAAATTTAGTTTACTGGATGGTTGAAAAGTTATCTCACTCCTTAACTGCCGCATGTGTTATTTTGTCTTATAGCTGTGGTGGTTCTGGCCTTTGTAATTTGCTGGTTGCCTTTCCACATTGGCAGGATCATATTTATAAACACCCGGGACATGAGGACGATGCTGTTCTCCCAGTACTTTAATATATTCGCCCTGCAGCTTTTCTACCTGAGCGCATCCATCAACCCTGTCCTCTACAACCTCGTTTCGAAGAAGTACAGGGCAGCAGCCTGCAAGCTGCTGCTGCCACGCCGAGCTGCAGAAAGGGCTTTCACCATAACAAAAGACGCTGGGGGCTACACAGAGACCAGCGCCAGCACAAGGCACGAGTACACCACCAGCTTCTGAGGCTGCACCCCACACTTCTTCAGGCATTCTTGCCTAAGGAAGGGAACTTCCTTCTCACGGGAGAGTGGCAAAAGGATGGACATTTGTTAGGGCGTGTGGTGTTTCATAACTGTCTGTATTTTGGGATACCTGTATTTTTGATAACAGAGCAAGCAGGCACCATGAAACAGGGAGAATGATGTGCAACTCGTGAAAGATGATAAGTCAATAGGAAAAGCTGGAGGAAATTGCCAGTAAAACCACGGGTTTGCTTTATTACATAGTGTTCATTGCACGTATTCTGTGCCATTTCTAGTATTTTCTAAAAATCATGACACCAAGGTCTGCAAAGGAGCACTTCTTGGGAGCTGTAATGGGTAAAATTCCCAGACAGCCTTCACCATTTTGAAATGGTTTTCTTATAACGAGATTTTACAAAACACAGTCTCACAAGGACTTGAACACAAAAAAAAATCACCCACCAACCTGAGCATCCCTGGAAAAAGATGTATGATTTTAGTATTTGGTCTTGTAATCATGAAGGGGACTTTCCTGGGCAGTTTCACTAATTTCCCTTAGGAAAGCATCTGCTGCACACAGCAGTCTCTGGGCTTAACCCTAGGATCAAATAAGGTATTTTACTTATATATTAACAACCTGTTGTAAAACTTGAGATATCCCAGATCACTTCCCTTAGAATAGGTGAGCAGTGTTTGGTAATTGGTAGCAGTGTGTCTCCACATTGTGTATTGTGTGTGCAAATAATACACCAAGTTAACCCACCTGGCCACAGACAAGACCCGTCACTGAATGTGCTGGACTATGCCCAGGACTTCATGCTGCATAATGCTGCACTGCAAGTCAAAAACCCGCTGACTTATTCTGCTCCAAAAGATTTTAATTGGAAACTTCAACTGTACAATTTAGGAAGGAGGCTAGTTGTGAGGAAAAGCTAGAAGAAGCTGCAGCAGTGTTTTCTGTGGAGGATCATTGCCTCTGTACATTTTACTTGTTACTTTATTGGCTCTGGGGGTGTAAATCTGGACCAAATCAATGACGTGGGACTGTACTTACGGGAGCATCACTGATGCTTGCCATCACTGTCCATCCTTGCCCTTAGTTCTCTGTTGACTTCTCCTTTCAGGCAGTTGTAGAGAGTGATACTGTCCCCTCTGAGCCTCCTTTTATATAGGCTAAACACCCTCATTTACCTCAGCTGTTCCTGAATTGTGCTCCAGAGCCTTTACCAGCTCCACTGCTCTTCTCTGGACGTGCTCCAGAACCTCACTGTCCTTCTTGTAGTGAGGGGCCTGGAACTGGACCCAGGATTTGAGGTGTGGCTTCACCAGTGCTGAGTACAGGGGCACAATCCCTGCCCTGGTCCTGCTGGCCACACTATGGCTGATCCAGGCCAGGATGCCACTGGCCTTCTTGGCCACCTGGGCACAGCTGGCTCATGTTCAGCCACTATCAACCAGCACCCCCAAGTCCTTTTCTGCTGGGCCACTTTGCAGCCACTCTTCCCCAAGCCTGTAGTGCTGCCTGGGGCTGTTGTGGCCAAAGCACAGGACCCAGCACTTGGCCTTATTGAGCCTCATACAACTGTCCTCAGCCTGTCAATCCAGCCTGTCCTGATAAATTCAACAGAATTCAACAGCTAGCTCAGAGATCTCAGGGCAGCAGATTTGAACCCAAGTCTTCTCCAAGTTTTAAAAATATGACCAGTTCTCCATTAAAGAGTCTGTAACTCTGAGTCACTGAATAAAAACTAAAAACAAACCTAAGGACAGAAAAAAAATCTATCTCACTGCATACACATAAAGTTTTCTTTTTCAGCTTCATACTGGTGGAGAGCAGTTGTCTGCAAGGCTTGGGTTAGGTTGCTTTTACTGGGGGGTGTCATTAAGATGTTCAGTTATCGTAAAAGAACAGCTGTTATTTTTGGGGGGTTTGGACAAGTTATTATGAGCAGTAATCTTTGTACATGTATGTAGACCAAAGGGGGGAAAAAAGCTTTATCACGTAGTTATGTGGCCGTGGAGCTGCTTCTGCATGCCTGTGGTCTCCTGATAATGGCTTTTCCTTTATCAATTGCTGCTAAATTGCACTGGGAGTGAAATACTTGCTCATCAGGAATTTCCCCAAAAGCAATTGCGTAGGTATCAGAAGCACAAGGTGAGTGGAGGAAGGAGGGAAATGCCCTGTGGGCTGCTGCCCTGAACCCCCTTTTCTAGGGTGCCCTTCCTGCACCGACAGCCGTGGCACTGCTCTGCTCTGTGTGTGTGCCGGGTGTCCAAGGCCGGTCCCTCTCAGCCGGGACTCCAGCTCGCTGCTCCTGAGCTGCTCATGGAGCGACTGCAGTTCTGCAGGGAGCTCCAGGCTTGGGCTGCTCCTGCCCAGCCTGATGCTGCAGCGGCAGGCTTCTGCTCCCGCTGGCAGACTCCACTGAAGTGGTCTGGTTTTCTGGGAAAGTCATTTGTATCCCTGTTAAAAGGTATCCCCCTTGCATGCTTAGTAGAATAACACAAAATCCCACCTGTCAGCTTGCAGTGCCTTGTTGTTAATGCTCCCTCCACACCAGAACAAAGGCTTAGGAAATAGATGAAGTTTGGGGTGTTTAGAATTAACCAGGCCTGGCACTGCTGTCTCTGACATTCAGTACTGCATTGTGTAAGCAGGGATGTTGTAAATGAAATAGCTCTTCTGAGGAACTCTGAGTCCAGGTGCAGGCAGGCTATCTCTCTAAGTATTTCAGAAGTAGTTTCCATACCACAAAGCCTGTAAAATACAAGAGAAAATGGACTAGAAGGAGAGAGAAAATGGGGCAGGGATGTAAAAGAAAAGCACAGAGACCATATGATAAAAAGGGAAGCATAGTGAGATAGTCTCTTTTTTAAAGCATGCATGTAGTTATGTTGAAAATCACAGGAAAGAAAATCAGCAATTTGACAGAGCCCTGATACTTGCTAGAGTTGTGGTTGTACTGAGGAAGAGCTTGGCCCCCAGCACTGGGGTAGCATTGGGGAAGGGAAGGGAAGGGAAGGGAAGGGAAGGGAAGGGAAGGGAAGGGAAGGGAAGAAGGAAGTTTTAGAGAGGTTTGCTGCACTCAGGTGAACAAAGACCTCTCAAGTTCAAAGCTGCTCTTGTACTTGCTGGAGTGATGCTGTCTCCAAGGCTATGTACAGCTGCCCGGCAAACAGAAAGGTGCAGGGACACGTTTTCTTCCCACAGTCATCCCCTTAAAATTCTATTTGTCACTGTGCTGCAGTGACTCCCACAGGAAGCACAAAGCCTAAGGCTGTCTCAGCAATCAAACAAAGGGATTATACAAAGTAAGAGGGAAAGCAAATAGGTATAAAATGGCCCAAACTGCTCTAAATTAGCTAAACCAACAAACATGGTCTTGGCCTTGGATCAGTCGAGTCTGACGGGAACAAGCCCCAGCATCCGTGGGATGCCACTTCCTATTTGATTTAGGAGTAGGCTTAACATTGCCAAAATAGGCCAATTTTATGATAAAATTAGTATCCAGAAGTATATTTCTGCTTTGGGGAACTATTTACATGCTCCTGGTCACCTGTGATGCTGCACTTGAGCTGTGGTAGGGATTTCCTGGAACTCAGAAGAAAACTGGGGGAAAACACTGCAAGTGGGAAAAAGGTTTGCCTTTGAGGAGTTGGGGGGCAGACACAAAATCTAACCACTTGTGCACCTGGTACCAGTAGATGCTAAAAGATTTTCCCATCAGGCAAAGCACAGCATTTTCCACAGGCTCAAGTCCAGTTGTTGCTTTGTTGTTCACTGCTGAGGCAGGCTTGGTGCTTCTCATGACAAGGCAGACAAGGGCTTGCAACATCTGGGTGAATATCAAGGCACCAAGGATCTCTGGTGCCTGCCCAGACGTCACTGATGGAACCTTAAACAGAGCCTCGAAACGCTGAGAAGCAAAAGCAGTGCTGTCTTCTGCTCAGTGTCCCTACTGTGGGAACTCTACTCTGGTGACCCAAAATGTTAAGGCTGATGTCATCCAGTGCTTCTGTGGGCCACACACATCTTCAAGCATGCCAGCAAAGCCTAACGTTTCCAGTGTTTAAGAAAGCCAGTTTTGGATCAGAAAATGACTGTCCAGGTTGGGAAGGACCTAACAGAGATGAGGCTGGAATCTCCTCCTGCAGCAGCTCTAAGCAGCAACACTGCTTTGTTTTTCATGGGGCTGCACATGTCCAAGAGTCCATGTCCTCAGTCCCCCAGAGCCAGGATCAGAGCTGCCCTACACATCGTCTCAGTCTCCTTCCCAGTGGCTGGGGGCTTCCAGGCCCCCTGGAAGGGTATATCAAGGATGGGGGCGGCATATGCTCAGGATGGGGGTGGCATATGCCCTGGGACAGGACAGAGAGCAGTGAGGCTGACAGCTCTGTCCTGCCTCTTACTTGCCTCATCTTCCCCTCAGATCACCCTATCTGCATACTGCCCCTTTCCAAGATGAGTCCCTGCTCCTTCTATCTCCACTTTTGGACTTCATCTTCCTTCCCCTGCTGTGGAGCATACATAATGCTGTCTGCTTTCCCTCCTTTTCCCTTTCCTTCTCCCAGCCAGAACTCACCAGATGGATTCATTTATTTCTCTTTCAGAAGCTGTCTGTGACAAATATCTCTGCCAAAGGGCTCATCCAGGCTGCCAGGCATTGGTGAGGAGCCAGATGCTTTGACCACAGCCTGTCCCTGTCAGCCATGAGCCTGTATGAGCTCACACTGAAGTTGTTTAAAGTTTTAACAGCACCTCTATATGAGCTAATCTTAAAAAAAGATTAACCCTTAAGAAGGGCTGGGTCAATTTTTTCCCAAGATATGAAGGCCATGTAAAGCCCTTGCACAGGTTCCATCGCTCCCCATAGCCCCTCATGGACACTGTCCTCGGGCCCCCAGGCAGGGCAGGAGAGGAAATTCAGGGTTTTCCCTCAACCCCAGCATGTCCACTGCATGCAACCAGGGATGTGTCCACAAGGTCAACCTTCAGTGTGGGCTGAAGTCAGGTGTCCTAAACCTGAAACTCCAACAAATACCACTGTCCTTAGCGAAGAGCCCAAACTCAGCACAGTGAACCAGCCTGAGATGCATCATCTGGCAATCACTAAAACCAGTATGAAGTGACAGGAATGCAAGCTAGAAGGAATGAAATGGGAGAACCACCACCCAGTGTTGCAACATGGGTAATCAAATCCCTGTGGTGCAGTTGCTGTATCAGAGGTGACAGCTACCCTGGCCAGAGTAAGAGAGAAAAGGCAGCGAAAGGATAAAAGTAACCTTTTTTCCCCTCCAGAACTTATTTAACATCATCCCATATGACAAGGAGCAGCATTTCACTGCAGCAAAAGCAAGTCAGCTCTGTGTCAGTGCTCTCAGCTGTGGTGTCATCTCACAGAGCCCGTGACAGTTCCATAAAACTGTTGTTGTATCAGGGGTATCCAAGCACAATAGGACTCTGCAAGTGGGTTCAATCCCTGTTTGGGCCATTCACTTAAGGGTTAGACTTGATGATCCCTGTTGGGTGCCTTTCAGCTCAGAGTACTCTGTGTAATTCTGTGTAATGTTTCTGCTCTCTGAAGCTTTGCAGAAGTTGCAAAACAATGTCAGGAAACCTTGAAAGCAACAAAAATGACCTGGCGTCTGCTATAAATCAAGGATACCACCACTGCCCAGCTTGCAGCTAAACTGATTATAAAGGGAAGCATATGCCAAACAAATGTGTGGCTCCTGTGCAACAAATTTTCCCCATCTTAAAAAGGAAATCAGTTCCCTAATTTGAGTATAGATCTGCTTTTTGTCTGTGCTGCACAAATACACCCCAAAGACAAGTTGTGTTTCAAACAACTGTGGAAGCACAAGCTGTCCACAACCACAGAAGAGGAGGAATGTAGAGAGAGGCTGAGTTTCCCCCTCTCCTACAGCAGCTGAGCACAGCATAGGGAACATTCTCTTATTCAAGGGTTTCAATTCTGCCAAGTCAGGCAGCATTCCCAGCCCTGGACTTCATTTGAGGCTTGTAGGCAATACCTCTTTATGGATTCCAACAGACCTCAGCAGAGCCTGCTGGACTGAGCTGGACAAGCCATATCTGTGCCAGGGAATCATCTCATCCACCTGCCCACAGCATTCTGCTCCTCCAGAGCAAGCCTGTGAGATAAGGCAGCTGAGACAAGGGAAGCTGCTTCTACAGAGTGGTAGGCGAATTTTCTGGCCTCTGAGAAGTTACCACAAAGATGCAGAAGGGACAGACTCAGAACAAAGAAATGTTTGCTCCTTCCCATGCTGCCTGTTGTGAAGGGAGACCTCTCCTGCAGAGCCTGGGGACTAGAAAGAAGCAGGGAAGGATGGACATGGCTGAAAATAGCCTTGGCTGAGACAAGCCTGAGAAGGGCAAAGAAAAACATGAAAAAGCAGCAGGAGTTGGTCCCATGGAGCAGAACCCCCTACCACACATATACCACGCTCAGATCCATTTCTTCCCCATTAACACTTCCCTCCGTATGTATTTTCCTTTCACTAACTGATTTAGTCTTCAGTCCATTTTACAGCTGTTGGTGAGAAACTACAGCTCATCAGGAGCTTGTAATAGCCAGAGTCCTCACTTTCATTTGGTTTCCTTCTTCTCAGACATCTCTTGCTTTGTGAAGTGCAGGAGTAATATGCCTCTATGTGGAAATGTCAAATGTATTACATTTTAGTCTGGGCTCTAGGAATAATGCATTTATTTCTAAATAAAGAAAAAAAGAAACAAAATTGATTTCTTGCTTCCTTATCAACCAAACATGGGACAAGGCTGTCAAAGGAAACACATGCCAGTGAGAAAACACTGACAGGTAATTTCTGTTCCATAAAGGGAGAAATATCCAGGTTAGACCATTTGACAGCACACATCACTGCATTACAACTGATGGTTGTCAAAAAAGACAACCTTAGAAGAAACTGCCTCTGTGAGCTTGCAGACTAGAAGAGCAGAAAGGGTGCTGGTTTTGTGCTGGGCAGTCTTTGGGATATTTACACAACAGAACCTTTAAAACCGAGCTTTATTGCACAAATGACAGGGAACAAAATCCCACACCTGTGTTCAGGGAAGCTGGACCATGAATGAGTTTGGGTCACAGACACACAGGGCAGGGTGGTGTGGAGTGACCAGGACCTCACACTCATGTTGAAGCCAGTGGAGCAAAAGGGGGTGCTGAGCTACAAAGGATCCTGATAGTGCTTGATGCCATTTGGGAGCAACCCTGGTGCAGCCAAAGGATGTTCACCCACCACCCCACAAAACACCTCTGCTGTGCCTCAGTGGCTGTTGTTACCAGGAGGTATCAGCAGGAGTGTGTTTGACTGCAAGTATCTGTAGGTAACTGCAGAAGCAATCACTTCCAGGCTGGCTGCACAAACCAGGCCCTGCTTGGAGGAAGGAAGAAAGAGACATCACTGGCTGCTTTCAGTGACCAGTGAGGAAAAAGCTGCTCATAAAAAAAAGTCTCAGTGGTGCCATGCACCACCAACATGGCAGGACACTGCACTCCCCCTCACAAAGCAGGGACTGGTACCTACAATGTCTACAGCAGGAGACAGGCAGAGAATTTGCAAAACCATTTTTTTTGCCTCCATGACATAGAGTTGACAGATGCTGCCTTCACTGTTGTCAAACTGACTTTTACATGATTCCTAATCTTGCCGTTTTACAAAGCAGTGGAAAAGGCAGCGAGTGACAAAGACAGAGGCTCTTGGAGGGGCTCCTGCTCAGGGCAGGTTTCCCTGCTCAGCAGCACAGCCATCACAAATCACACTCCTGCCACCACACACTCCAACTTTCCACTGCATGTACTTCAGCATGCTGCTTTATAAAGCGAGCACATCCTTCCAAGGTCATTTATACAAGGGGTGTTAAGAGTTAAAAAGAGCACCTTGTTGTATTTGCATGGTACTAACAAATACCAGATATTTCCTACATGAACTGATGGGCCTAGCTGTTACAGATGCTTAACAGCTACCAAAACAACAAAAAAATTTTCTAAGAGAAGAGGGTTTGTTTTTAAATCCAGAAGGCAAAACAAAGGTCAAAGTAGAACTCCTAGAGATTAATAAAGATCCAAACCCCCAAGAATAAGCACTATAAATTCTTCTTACTAGTCTTTAAACAGATTAACAGCGTTACTGTTTATCAATATACTCCAGCTAGAATTTTGATGTAGGTGTGAAGTCATCTACCTTAAGACAGTTGAAGGTAGTGCAGGAAACCTGGATCCAGGATCTAAAATCTGCAGTGCACAGACACAGAAAAAAACTACAAAGTAGGTAACTGAAATGCAGGAATAAGTTTTCTTAGCAAATCAACCCCAAAAGAGATGGTGATGGGAAATGAGATTTTCAGTCCACCGATACCATGAAGATGAGGGTGTAAAAATTTACTAACAGCAGTACAAGAAGCACCATAAAAGCCAAGTAAACATCTCAGTAAATTTAAACAGGGAGCAGTGTTGCTACACCAAATGGCTATCAAATTAGCCATTGCAAATTGCAAAGGATAAAATCCTGAAAGTCATCAGCCAAGATGATCACACAGCTTTGTAGCTGTGTATCAGAAGGTACCTGCAGAAACGGGAACATGTATGACAAGTTCCAAAGGACATTGTGGCAGAGAGAGCTTTTGCTTTCTCCCATCTGTTAGATCAAAACACAAGATATCAACAATGAGAGCCTTCTGGGACATTTCAAGTGGCACATCCAAGCAAACATCCAAGCAAACTGGTCTGCTAAGTAAAGAAAAAAGGGGTGAGGGGAAAGGGGTGTTAAGAAGTCAATCACTTGAATGAATTTGGTTTGTAAGACACAGACACAGGAACAAACTGCAGCTGTTGAGAGAAGCAGTAGGTTTTTTCAGCAGGTCTCTTTCAAGGAGAAAAGGCCCATCCAGAAGTTCTTGCCAATCTGTAAATTATAAAAATTGAAACTCAGAGGGCAACATGCTGGTTAACTGGAAAGGCTGAATTGCCCTGAATTGTATATAAAGGAACAGCAAGACTAAGACCCACTTTTCCTCATTACTACCATCCTCTTCTCCACCGTAATCTTGCCAAAAGAAGCCCACTTAGTCCCTGGGCAGGGATGATTTCTGCAGTAGGGTTGGTGCCATTTTCCTTTCAATGACATGATTTCTCTTGGTTCTGGAGTGAATGAGTACCCTCTTCATGCTCCACAGAGATGCTGTTGTCTGCTGCCCTCTAGCTTTTTACCTGCAGCTTTTGGTGGAAGGCAAACAGAAGCAGCAAATCCTTTAGTCCCAGTCCAGTCAGTGGGAACTTTCAAATTCAAGATCATAATTAGATTAAAAGCCATTGTAAGATGGGACCTTTTTTTCTTTCTTTCATCTATCATGCTGCTTCCTCTTATGAAGACAACTACACCGCAAAGAGGTGACTGCAAGTTACAGATGAATGTTGCTGTCAATTTGATTTCCACTTATTTCAGGCTTACTGACCCTCAAACAGCCCACCTCCATGCCCAGCTCTGAATGGAAATCCTAGAGCACACAAGTCAAATACTGCATCTGACTCAGCAAGCTACTTGTGAAAAAAAAAAGAAGTTTCTCTAACACAAGAGGGGGAAAAACCACTTCAAGATGAGCAAACAGACTTCTTGCAAGTCTTGGTTTGGTTTTGGGATAGCGGGAGAAAATCGTACTGAAAGGTGTTACCCTTTTGCTTGATGCAGTCTATTTTAACACAGAATTCAGCAATGGTCTGGTCACATTGGAGAGATTGGTACGTGAAAATGCACAAATCATTTTTGTAGTCTTTCATAAAGAGGCTGTCTAGAAGGGATTTTTTCCAAACAGAAGAAAAATTCATCTGAGATAGTCATGCAATGCATGCACAGCAAATAAATTAATTTTAGGCCATACATTTTAAAAGAAGGATCCTTAGAAAGAAACTATTTATAACCTAATTCATGCTCTTATTCAGTTTTTAGGCTTCAATTGACTTGATTTGAGACTCAAAAATTTCTGTATTGCTTTAGGTCAGGAATTCCTGACGTAATCCTCAGGAATTCTTTTATTAATTTTTAGTCCTTCTAATCCTTAGTCTTTTTGGTCTAGATGGTGTAGGCTTCTGAAATTCTTCAAGATGTGATTTTTTTTGTCACTGACTGAATAATTATTTGGGGTTTTATACATGACAGCAGTTTATGGATATACCTCCAAAAATGTATCCACAGAGAAGCTTTTACATACCCTGATATTTAGAAAAAATGCCAGGGACACTAAACACCACCCCAGAGGCTCTGATGAAAAAGCCCAGAGGTCACAAGCTCATGCCTTGGTTTATACAGACCATGATGCCCAGCAGAGCTTGTTAATGAAGGCCGGTCCCTCTAGACACCTCTGGTGGAAGCGGAATAATCGGCCAGAGCACAGCGCCAGGTGCCCCCGGGCAGCAGAAGGTGCAGCACAGCAGCAGAGGCTCCGCTCTTCGCTCCACCTGCACCCTTTGCAGCTGAGCCGCCTGGTGCAGAAAATAACTTCCTGGGATACCCTTCAAGCAAGAGTTGGACTTGATGATCCTGGTGGATCCCTTCCAGAATATTTTGAGAGTCTTCTTCCGTGGTTCTATTAGAGAGTGTCCATAAGAGAGCTACGGATGCGGTGACGGGCCTTGAGGGGAAGCCGTGTGGGGAGCGGCTGAGGCCCCTCGGTCTGCTCAGCCCGGATTGCTGAGCAGACCAAGGGACCTTGGAATGGCGAGCTTCCTCGGGAGGGGAAGGGGGGCAGGCACTGCTCTCTTCCCTGTGGTGACCGGTGACAGAACCCGAGGAATGGCCTGAAGCTGTCAGGGGAGGTTCAGGTTGGATATCAGGAAAAGGTGCTTCACCCACACGGTGGTTGGGTACTGGAAGCTGAGAGAGCTCGAGAAGCGTTTGGACAATGCTCTCAGGCGCATGATGTGACTCTTGGGGGTGGTCCTGTGCCGAGCCAGCAGCTGACCGGTTGATCCTTGCGGGTCGCTTCAAGACAGCTCACCCCGTGCCCCCGTGACCCCGTGTCCCCCTTAACTTCCCGCTAGGGAGCGCGGATCCCGCTGGGAGCCACCGCCCCGCCCCTCCGAGCCCCGCCCTCCGGGCCTTTTGCGCTTCCCATTGGTCGGAGCGCCCGCCCGTCAGCGGCCGTTGCCCTGCGACCGGCCCCGCCCCGGGGCGGCCCTGGGGGCGGTGCGGGCCGGCGGCGGTCGGGCTCCGGCGGGGCTCCGGCACCCGCACCCATACCCATACCCATAACCATAACCATAACCATACCCATGCACGGCGCGGAGGAGGCGGCGGCGGGGCCGCGGGTGAAAGCGGCGAGCACGCAGACCGACAGCATGGCCGGTGAGCCGGGCTGCGGGGGTGGGAAGGAGGGCGGGCCGGGGCCTGGCCCGCCGTGAGGGAGCCGCGGCGCTGACGGCGGGCCGGGCCGGGCCGGGCTGGGCTGGGCTGGGCCGGGCCTGGCGGGTGTGAGGGAATATAGGCTGACCGGCCCCTCGCGGGTCTCGCCTCGTCCACCGGGTCCTTCCAGGGGCCGCCCGGTCTGTCCTCTCCTCAGGGGACACTTTCCGCCTCATCCCGGGGCTGTTCAGAGAGCCCGCGCCTTCCCCCTCTGCCGGTGATGCTTCACAGACAGTGAATAAGGTGTATATATGCATAAACATACATATATCTACATATGTGATACACATATG